AAGAAAGCCATCAAAGACCTATGTACAAGATTATTTATCATAGCATTATTCATATTCATGAAAAATTAGAACCAATCTTAATATCTTTGATTAAATAACACATATATATATGAGTTGTTTATATAATGTAAAAAAACTTTTCTTTAAGAATATTTACTGTGAGAAAATGCTCAAAATGAAATACATAGTTAAAAGAAGTAGGAAGCAAAACTGCATAGGGGTGAAATTGCCCATTATTTTACAACCTATGTTATTTTTAAACCAGAAAAATAAGTTTTTGTTAGTTTTGTTGTTTCAGTAGGGCCTGGTAACTCAGGGATGTCTTTTATCTGGTTTTCAGATTTATAGCGAATCTTTATAAAGCCAAATATTTATTTGTTTTTAACTTATACCAAAGCATTTTTGTATCCAGGCTAAACCACTCTATTCTAATCTTGCTTGGAAGAAAATTATACCATAGTTCAATGGAGGTTTAAAGGTTTTTTTCTGTCTCGTACACAAATTATTATTCTTAAGAACAAATCCGATTAACTGTTTAAAAGTTACCCGTTTCAAAGTGCCTAGAAACTCTTTCATATCACACCTTTGTTAGGCTTCATAATTTCTTTTTAGACAGATAAAAAATTTGGAATTAAGAAAGATGAATTGAATTATCCTATGCCTAGTGGGCAGGAGATGACTTGCTTAAAAGTCTAATTTTGTATAGGTTGTATTCTTTTGGCAAAGCTACTGTCAAAACTTAAGGAACAAAATTATAAATTCATAATAAGATATAAATAAATAATTTCAACTGTTAAACTATGAGGAATCAGAACCTTAAGAATAAAGGATTTCCCAAGGAAAAAAATGTTTTGTAGGGGGGATCAGTTGGTGACTCACTAATCTTTGACTTCTCACTTCATTATTCTTTGCAGTGCTTTCCTTGATCTTTTCTATCCTTTTATTAGTTTATTTTATAATCATATTGCCTTTCTCCAGAAATGCATTAGAGTATATTTCCTTGACACATATAATTATCACTTCTCTTACCTTCATTTCTTTCTTCACTCATTTTACTTTGACTTAATAAATCACAAATGAAACAATTGTTTTATGCAGAACCGACAGTTTCATTGAAAGGGCTGAAATATAGTGGACTGAAATATTAACCAGATCCCAAAAGATATTTCTTTATTTATAGGAGTTTGTTTAAATTTCGAGGTCTAAAGTAAAACTTGTTTTAAAAAAAAAACTCCTTCTCTAAATCATAACTGCCAGAAATAATCTGTAGCTATACCAATATATACTGAGTGAAAATAAGCATAAATAAATTAGATAATTCTAAAAATAAAACAATTCAGTCCCTAGGGCAAAAACAAAAGGAATGTTTGTTTAATGTTTGTAATCTTAATGTAAATCGATATAAAATATATCATGGGTGAAGGAGGGGAAATCTGCATTAGTTATTCAATAGATGAGAACATAAATTTAATGGAAACACCTGAGAGTCAGAAAATTTAATACCAGCTGTGCTTTTCTTAATGATACACCTCCAAAAAGCCACTAAACTTCTCTAGACCTGAGTTGTCTCATCTATAAACAAATAAATAAACAAATATGCAAAATGTACATTTTCTCAAAATTTTTCACCAAACATTTTGTAACTAAAGAGAAATGTGAATGCATACACCCAATAATATGGGCACTGACCTTAGTGTGACTTTAACAAGCCCAAACTCATTTTTAAGTAATCTTTTCTTTTTAAAGTTAATATAAAGTTTGCTTTCTACTCCAAAATAGGTATGTTTGTTTTAATAAGAAGATAACATTTACAAATACCTATTATTGGCAAGAGTGCTGAGGGTGAGATAGGATAATTTTCTGCTTTATTAGCAGTGGAAACGATTTTGCAGTGAGCTCAGTTTGGGAGAAATGGGCTAAATCAAAGGGAATCAGTAACCCATACTGTATTAGCATCTAAGGAAGTTCTTCTGTTAAACATATTTCTAGAATACAAACTCTTATTTAAAAAAAGGTGAATGCAAATAGCAGTCATTTCACTGCTTTACAGGCCACCTCCTGATATTAACCCCTGAGGTAGATTTCTTACTAATTAATCCTTGTGGCAAGATTCCGAGAATGTTGCAAAAGGGATGAGAGAGTGCAATATTTTCACTATTTTTAGTGGGTATTTTGTTAAATATATTCTAGCTGAGAGACTGAATAGAAGATTGAAATGTATTGATCCTCTGCTTTATATCTTTTGCAATCTCAGTGAAATACTTGCAAAAGGGTTTCTTCAGGGCAATTACTATTTACGATGTTTTCTATTTTGTGACTAATATTTTTATTTTCAATATATAAATAAACTAATAACCTCACCTGACTAATAATCCCCACAATTATTTACATTCAGTCCTGAAATTTCATTTATATTGCAGTGATCTTATATGTAATATAAGCATTTGCAATTTAACCTCTCTTAGTTACTGATGGAAAATGTTTAGCCTTATAGAAAAATATGTATAAAATAAGCTAACAATGTGAGGCTTTTATAGTTATCATGAAGAGTAAATTACATGATCTTATCCAAATCACTAATCTTCTGTGATTTATTTTAAATTTTTATCAACTAAAAGTAATAATCTGGCTTTTGGGTTAACTGAATTTCTTTTTATACTTCTTTATCACAATTGATGACTGTTGACTGGAATAATTGAGAGCATTGCATTTTAAATATATTGATTTGTTCTCTACTCAGATTTTAGTTTATGAGACAAATCTTTCAAATTCTTCCTGAAGGTTTTCAGTATTAGAGATTATTGCCTACTTCAGGAACCACAAAAAATTCACATGACACTTGAATTACAACTGCTTCTGACCTTGATAGCTACATTGGTTTTCTAAGGTCTTCCTCATGACAGTTGCAAATTTACAAGGTCAGATTTATATATAGAAAATTGATGTAAAGTATTGACAGACAAACTGTCTGCTCCCAAAAACCTTTGTTTAAATTGGTATTATAGTTTATTTTTCATTTTCAGAGTTCAGTGGTGACTGTCTTTTCTTATAATTCATTCTTGAAGTTCCTGTACTTTCACTTGCATTTGGAACTAAAATAGTTTAGGGAAAATTTCTTCCACAAATAAATATAGTAACATAAAATTTCATCTATAGATAGATAAACAAACAAGACAGATAGATACATAAATATGTATATATATACACATCCTCCTATAAGCATCCATTTTTTTTCCCCACCCATTATTTTCAGGCCTATCAAGGAAATACAGCTTTAAACTAGAAATAAGGAACTGGATGTTCCTAGATTTGTCATTAATGTCCTATGTAACCTTGTATCTTCTGAATGGAAATGATGGACTTTTAAGCCTACTAGAAATAAAAGACCATGTAGAAAATGGCATTTGCTTGTTGCTGTGAAACAGTTCTGAAAGTCTTCACAGTTTTTGAAAGTTTTCAGAAAGCAGCATGAGGCATTAGACCCTATTTTTTAATAGGAAAGCCCCTAGTTTATAATCAAATGTGTGATTATCCACATAAAATGGAAAATAGCTTTTGATATAAAGATACTCTCTAAAATCAAAGCAGAAAGCACAAGAGAGTGACTAGATATGATAAATTTACTGTTCAGAGGCCCTCTCATGTAGAGTATTGCCCTTCTAATTAGTATCCATTGTTTCTAAATTTGAGAATTCTTTAAAATAAGAAGAATGAGAACTAGTGATTTTCTTTTGGACATAATGCTGAAGAATTTAGTTAATGCTGAAGAATTAGTAAACACTTTATGTCAAAACCAAAAGTTGACACAATTCTTATGTACCAGGATGCTTTTTTTCAAAATAAAAATTTAGTTTTCTCCATATTATTCCTTAGTAATCTCCATATGCTATCAGAGATGCCCTAAAAGGAATAAGACAATCTATAGCTTGCCTCCAGGAAATATAATTTTGTAGCATGGTCAGGTTTCTTATTTTTCCTGAGGACTTTAACACTGGGAACTTGGCATCACATTGATACTTTTCCTCTACTATCTGTTAATACAAACCAGAGCATCACAGCTAACTTGATCTATGCTAGTCTGAATGGATGTATATCATTCTGCATGTATAGGAATCCATAGTGCAAAAAGCATCTGGTCTGAAGCTTCTTTCCCCTCCTAACCTCACCTTTGTTTTTTGTTTTGCCTTCTTCTTTAACCAAAATATTAGTTCTTATAGCTCTATGAAAAGACAAAGGAACTTCTAGTTAATGCCTCTATTAAGCACTTTGTGTTGAGAAATTTTCTTTTCTCTGTTATGTAGTGATGTGAAACAAGTTTTGTAAATAGAAGTTTTCCTTTTCCTTTCCCTTATCTTACCTAAGAGAAAAATTCAACTGAAATAACAGAAAACTTTGAGGGAGGTAATATATCTAACATTGGTCTGGCATTAAAATTTTCTGCTTGGGCAGCACAATGATTTAATTGGGAATATCAGTGACAGTTGAACAACCTCAGTGCTTGGGTCAGCAAGCAGAGGAGCTTCACTCTGTCACCTGTCTAGAATGATGCTTGTCGGGACTCATCTTTCCATTTAGGAAGCACTCATGTTTCTAGTCATACCATTGATGTTTTCTGGTATTACAATGGAATAGACACTAAAACACTGAAAGAGACAAAGTTCTCTGCATAGGTATATTTGTAATTCTTTGTTTTTCATAAACCAAATGCAAATGTAGCATTACTGCAGATACTGCTTCGTCAGAAGTCCCCAAGATAACCAAAGTAAGTGCCCGCTTCCTAATCTCAGGACTAGTGCCATAACCAAGACTGAATTCTAGTGACCAGCCTGTTTGCTGAGCATGTCATATAGCCTCTGGGTTAGTTAACTCCTTGGCCTCCTAAGAGGTGCCTCAAAGAATCAATTGATGTTTTTGCATGTTTTACTTACTAATGTATAGAAAAATTTTTAAGTTCACTTTTTCTTTATTCTGTCTTTTTTACCCATCTTCCCTCATTGTAGCAAATTAGACGGCCGGATGAAAGCAAAGGAGTTGCTAGTAGAGTTGGATCCCTCAAAGTAAATATGTTTATAACATTTTTTGGCAAGATTTCGTCTATAGCCTACACTTCTTCCTTTTTGGAGGGTGGTGGGAGGAAGGGGGCTTTTTTCATTTTCCACCATCCCATTTTTTTATTTTAATATTTTTATTGGCTGTTGGGTCATATTTTTTTTGTTTGTTTCAGCTATACATAGAGCAACCAGCTGAAGGCAAGCTGCCAAATAACTAACTTTGAATGGCACCACAAACCTGAGAAAGGGCAACTGCCTCATTTACAGGTGCCTGTAATTTGGGGTTCTAGAGTAAACCGTTCCTCTGATTGATGTCACTGACTATGTGTGTAAGCTGCTGCTACACACAGAACTAATATTTATTTTCAGAATATTATCTCCCCCTTTTACTTTTTTGGTTAAAACTAAGTATTATTTTAATGTCATTATCATTTGTAGTTCATTCCAGCAAAATAATTATTATGAGTTAAATACAGGTTATTAGAAATTAGAAAGAAAATGAATTGTATATATACTAGTGTGATGGGCTCACATACAGCTAATAGTATTCAAGCGCTCTTAATCCCCTGTGTTTTATTTTTTTAAGTCAAAAAAATTGATGTAGCGATCAACAAAAACCAATACATATCTAAATGTTTGCCCGTTTATGCATGTGATCTGCTAATACACAACTTAAAGACTTCTGATGGTCCCATTTGCTAGTTGTTAAATATCCATTGGGTCTATATATCTTGGGCACTTGATATGCTAACGTTTAATCACAATGAAAAGATAAACTGGTTATCACCTTAAGAAGCAGACATAGCAAATTATCATTTTTAATGCTACCACCATAAATGCAATTTAGAAAATTTGCCAATCTTAAAAATATGCAGAGGAAACTCCCCCCAGATTAATCACTTCTTCTATCTCAATCCCATTTGTCCGAACAGCGATAGTAATTGTTGAATTAATTAAAATGACATAAATCACTGCACTGGGATGTTGCAAAATTCAGTAACTACCTTCAGACCTAATAATAAGTCATTTCAAAATTTCACACGTCTCCAATTTATTTCATTTAACAGTTTATAAAGCACTGACTTCTGCACTCTTTCTTCTCCTTGCCTCTTCTCCCTTCTTAATTTTACTTTTTTTGTTGTTGTTTATTTATTTGTGTGTGTGCACACATGGGTGCACATAGATGAAAATGTGTCTGTATGTTTGTGTCCTTTATCTAAATGAGCCATACTCTGTGTTCTGTAACACTGCTATATACTGGGTAGCATATGTTTTTGATGTTATTTCACCAAGAACACAGATGGGATGGGAAGTGTTGATTATATGCCTATTTCAAAAACAAGGCAAGTTAAAATTATTCATTCATATAAATAGGAGTATCTGTATCCAGGTGCTGTATCAGTAGCATTCCTCACTGTCTACCTGTGAGGTATCATTTTACCTTTGTCTTTAAGGGAAAATAAATCCATTATTGTTTGGACTATGGATTATGACTCAGATTCAAGTGAAAAGATGCAGTGTGACATAACTTTTTGGAAATTACTGATCATGAAATAAAGATAAAATGACATCCATAACTGCAGCACCATCTGCTGTAACTGGACTGTGAGCGAGTGTGCCTGTGTTTAATTATCTAAGTTCAGCTTTTGGATGTATAGAACTTCAAATAATAATTGTATGTTTATTGTTTTTAAGTATACATGCAATATGATTATGTATATACATATATATGGAACAAAAGATACGTTTTTAGCTTTCAGTCAGTTTAATATGGACAAAATTCAAACCAAAAAGTGGTTTTGGCAAAGAAAGGCAAATTTCATAATTTTTAGGTATCTTTACTCCATATTTCTACCTAATAGAAAACTTTAAAATGAATCTTTAAGAAATTATAAGGATAGTCATAGTATTTATTTTTTCTAATGCTTTTGGGAGAAAGGATGCTATAATTAAAATGTTAACTACCTAGTCACGGGTTTATTGAGCATGTATTCTCATATTATACAAAGATCTTTGATGTTTTTAAATGTTTGCCAAAGGCAGTGAGAAATGTATAACGCTATGATCTTATTTTTAAAAGGGAAAAGGAAAACTGAAAAGAGAACAAGTTGCTTTTTCAATTCATTTTCTGATGTTTACATGTAGCTCCATCGAAAGCTGGAGGAGCTCAGAGATCACCTAGAAGGCAATGTCAAAGGATACTCTCTCAGAGTAAATGTACGATTTCACACTCGGTGATTTATTTTTCCTAAACTTCTGCTGACTGGTAATTCCAAATCTAACTGGTTTGTCCTCTCATCTCCATCTTTTTTACTTTCTGTCTCTTTTTTCCTATCCCTTTCTTTCTTTTCTAGCTGCAGCTTCATGCTCACATTTATGACATAAATACTAGATTGGCAGGATAGAGGACCCTTAAGCCACAGTAACATCACAGTTGATTTAATAACATTCTGGCTCCAATGCAAAATAAAACTTTCTTTTCAAAATCTGTGTTTCTTATACAGTTGTATGATTTTTCTGAGGATCTTTTTTCATAAGATTTCATTTGGAGCCTTTCCATTGTCCATGTCTTCTGCCCTTGTTGGTTGTGTCAGCAGGACTATAAATTATGGGCTGGATCTAAGTCACAGAGCTTTGATGATTCAATTTCAGTTGTCAAGGAAAATGATCAATGTTAGAATGTCATCATAAGTAATCTGGCAAGTAGACACATTTTTTCTGAGTGAATAGACTTCTCTTAACTCAGACTCGTTGGGAATAACTACAAGATATCTTTTTTTTTTTGGCTTAAAAATAAGAAAATTAGGCAGTAAGCATCTTCACCTGGAGCACTGTCATGTAACATATTACAAATACTTGAAATAAAAGCTAATATACCAACATAACACTTTGAAGGAGAGGAATACCTTGTAGCTGCTCAAAACTGTACACAAATCATATAGGCAATACTATCAATAGTATTTTTTGTGACTGATAGTTTAGACTCAGAATGCTTGGTCCTTCTCCTAAGTATATCTTTTCAAGTAAAATCTCTAAAATGGTGTATGGTGTAAATATGACAGAAAAAAAGCCCATTACTGCAGTAAATAAATTCTGGCTCTATTTATCTCTGATCTCCCATGCCTGGGGATATTTAAAAAGTTCCTATGAATCCTAACCCTGACTTACTTCTCCCAGGATTATTGCCATATGTGTAATTCATATTGCTGTAACACTTTCATTTTAAAGGGTGGAAAACAATTACAGTGCTATGATAATTCTCTGATTTCTCAGCTTATTTTTAATTATATACTATAGCTATTTATATCTCAATATTAAGTTTCTGATTACTAAAGTCCAAAGTTGTTTGTATTCATATCAGTCATCAAATTCTGATTGCTAAAAAGAGAAGAAATTATTACCCATGTCTCATTTTTCTACTTTCTTTTAAGGCAGTCCTTGTTTTCTGTCATATTTTTACAGAATTTGAAAGATTATCCATAATCAGTCCGGGAATCTACTCCATTGTTTTTTAAAAAAAGGGATATGAATTTTGTGATTAAATCAGTCAAAACATACCTGGATATTATTATAACCCCTAAAAAGATTCTGATGATATTAATAAGTGTATTTAGTATCATGCACCTCTGTAACCAATAATGAGAAGCAATAGTATTTTTCTTTCAATCAAATCGAGACTAGAAAGCTGAGACTTGCTAAGGTCTATATGGTAGGAAGTTAGTGTTTGATGAGGTTTAAGTTAAAATTTCTGTGCTTCAAAAATTGGCTTATCTCCACCACTCTTCAGTTTCTTTTTCGACACCTCTACTATATGGTACAGCACATAATGACTAATCTCAATGTCTTCATCTTTTATTTCATTTCACTGGGTCACACTTTTTTTGATTACCTTTATTCTAAAAAAAAATTGCCTCATTTCACTGGGTCACACTTTATTCTGATTACCTTATTCTACAAAAATTGGTACATCATTCTAAGATTTCTATTTTCTAGGAAAGTGTGGAGAAAAAAGACAATCAAAAGGCAAATAGTATCTTCTCTAGAGAATTCAGCTAAGATTCAAATCAAATGCTTAGCTGAACATTCAGTTTCTTTCCTTCCCTTTAATACCTATTACCCCAGGATGCCTGAAAATATGCCTTGTATATTAAAAATTGTTGCTTAGAAGCAGAATAGTTATTCTCAGTTCATAGGCTATATAAACAGATTTTGTTTCTAAAATGAGATAAATTTGCATATAGTGACCATTCCATTTTGTGAAAATTTATTGCAGGTGTCCACACACAAGAGCAGGTATATGGGTTGTCTTTTAATTCATTGAAACATTGCTTAATATTTCAATAACATGAAAGATTCAGAACCATATTGCCATTTAAATATTTTATTTAATAGTTGGAGAAGGTGACACATCATTCAGAAGTTTGGGATAATGACTTAATTAAATCATTAATGCTTTACTTCAATTGGTGTCGTCTATACGATGTATTGATTTTTAGAGTGGAAAGAACCCTGCTTGCTTATTTGTTGTGGATAATCAATTATATAAAGTAGACTATTCTGTTAAGATTTCATTTTTGGAATAATATTAAATTTTATTTATTTCTCATGTAAAAACATTTTATTCTACATTGACTATTTATACTGACTTTATCCTACATTTTCTCTTCTATAGCAAAAAGTAGACTTTATTATATTCTTGAATACTAAATTAAGAGTATTTTCTTTACACTGTACAAAGCTAAATACTACTCTAAATGAGATTTTAGTAATTTTAATAAAAATAAAATTATTATCTTGTATCTAAGCAGAGTTTCCCTAATTTAATGACTGCAAAAATGACTACAAATCCTTAGGTAATGTGTTGAGAATAATGACTGAAGAATAATACCACATAAAGAATAAAAATCAGTTTCCATTAATCAAATTCATGAGTCTGGTAGGAAGAATATTAAAAGTAATGAACAAGATTGAAGAACAGTGCAGACAGTGTTAAGAATTGGAAAACATAGAATAAGTTATGCAAACTAATAACTTTGTTCAGGGCATACAAATCAAAGTAAATTTACCAAATTGAAGTTAAGGAGCAGTGGGGCCCTTGCAAGCTTGAATGTCAAAATATTCAGAAAAAAAAGTAAGTATATGCTTATGAAACAAAGACAAGGAGAAAGATGAGAGAGGAGAGGAGTAAAAATACCTCAAAGCCACAAATATGCAAATATGATAGTAAATATCTGTTCAGGTTCACATATACAGATTGATTTGGAGTAACCAAATATGTAATTTTTTAAAAGCTTTGACGATGAAAGGGAGGATGACTGACAAAGACAGGTTATTGGCACATAAGTGAATTAAGACAAAAGGTGATGAAGTAGAACAAATATAATTATAAATACTTTCTATGGTAACACAAATTAAGGGATGGTATTAGTTAAGTGGAAAAGTTAATGGAGGAGTTACTGGTTAAAATAAGACTGTTTTTAATAAGTTTAAGAAATTGATTCAAGTCAGAAAGTAATGTCTTTTGAAAAATGCTTTTTAAATGTTTCATAGTTAATTTCCTGAATGCCAAAATAAGATGAAATAGGACTAATATAAAATAATGAATTAAATGGTTGTGATTTTATAGATCTCTTAAGATCAGTATTTTAATTCCAGCCATAGTTCTAAACAAACTCTTCTTATATTTTTGATAAATTATCTTTGTTTTTTTTTGTACTTTTGTATTCATCAAATTAATACTATAACTCAGGGGTCAGCAAACTGCAGCCCTTGAGCTAAATCCTGTTTCTCTTTTGTGGGCCCACAAAGTAGGAAAATTTTTGCATCTTTAAGTGACGGGGGGAGGGAATCAAAAGAATATCATTGCATGGCAAGTGAAAATTATTTAAAATGCAAATTTCAGTGTCCAAAAATAAAGTTTTATCGAAACACAGCTGTACTTAGTCATTTGGTTATAATCTATGGTTACTTTTGCAGTGAAACAGCAAAGTTGAACAGTTGCCTCAAAGATCATATGGCATGCAAAGCCTACAAAAATATTTACTGTCTGACTATGTACAGAAGTTTGCTAAGACCTGCTGTAGCCTGCTATAACTGGCTAGTGTGTAAAAATGACATTGAAGAAGAAATGGTTATAATAGAGGCTGTGTGAAATTATTTTCATTTTAGAGCTTGAGAAAAGAAGAGTTGTTCATTTTTCTGGAGATGGTTTCAGACCATTCTGCATGGAAGTGTGTGTTTAAAAGAGTTGATCCCCTGAAATCTTCTACCTTTATATTTTTATCCTTCCTTCTTGTATCATTTTTTCTAGCTACTCTCTCTTCACTTCTCCCCACAACCCACACTCCCCACCCCACACACAGACTGAGTAAACCCAACATGGAATTACCATTAAACCCTTCAAATGTAGAACTATCATATGGATAAAGTATACATTATAAATTCCTCTTCTTTGGGGGACCCCTTACAGAGATTTTGAATCTAAAGATAAGTTCCATTCTTGCTCTTAAACTTTTTAAAAATGTTTTTAGAGTACTTTTGCTGTACACATTATATTTTTCTGTTTATTATTTCATTACACCTTAATAAAGATATTTCCCCTGAAAACCATGATCAACCTTCAATGTCTCCTAAGTTCTTATTTGTCCTCACCTAAAATCCTACCTTCTATTAGAGTTTCTGTACACCTGGGAAAAACACCTGACATATACATCATATCTTAATATACAGCACTTAAAAATCTTAAAGGTATCTGTGTTGAATCAGCCATCTTTGCTTGAGGTGAAGAATTAAGGAATATTGTTAGACAAATAAGCATTCAATGGCTTTTAAATGAGTGAACATCAGTTTGTATACTCTGCTTTATTTAGGTGAATTTCATTATCTTTTGGCTCTTGTATGTAGAACATTGTTTGAATTTCCAGTCTTCCTTGTTTGACATTTTGGCATTTACTCATATTAATAATAGGCCTTTATTTACTATTTAATAATATCCATTTATTTACTATGTAATTTATAATAATTATGTAACATCCTGAGTATCTTGGTAGATGATGTCTTATAAATATGACAATTTTATTGTCTACAGTAAAATTGTACTACAATAATAATGGATGTGATAGTAAATTGATTTTAGGATTATGTCTGTGGGAAACAGGCTAATTTTGCTACCTTTCACTTTATTAGAATTCACTTAACATCTCAAATTAATTAGTACA